CCCAAATCCCATCACAGCCTATTCTCCCCCTTGCTCTCTTAGATGCATCCACACTCCCTAGCTTTCTGTTTCTTGAATAAACCAAGTTCATTCTTGCCTCAGGGTGTTTGTAAGTGCCATTCCTTCTGCTTAAAGCACTCTGCCTCAGTTTTCCATCCGTAACCTTCGTATATCAATCAGACCTCCCCTTCATATCTTCCCTGACCACCCAAACAAAAGTGGCTACTCCTGTCCTGCCCCCTTGTTCCTCTCATCCCATCACCCTATTTTACTGCCTTCTTGCATGGGTCATGATAGAATATTGTCTTCTTGTTTACCTGTTTATGATCTGTCTCCACCATCCTACCCAAGAATTCATGGGACTTTGCCTCTTTGTTTGAACACTGCTGTATTTCTCAGCATCTTTAACAGTGTCTGGTGCACAATATGCCCTCAATAAATACTTATGGAATAAAAGACTAAATAGATGAACACATGTACAAATGCACCTAATTCAAGAAGTTCAGTACGGCTGGAGCATAGAGAATGGGAAATAGCAAGACATGAGCCAAAGGTGTCATAGGGACCACATCCATGCAGTGCTCAAAATCCCTGAGGAAATTGATTTTTACTCCAAAGGGGATTAGACTACAAGTTTCTTCAGTCCAAAGACAGGACTACAGTTACAGAGAAACCAGAGAGGTTTGGAAACAGAAAAGAGAGGTCTTCTGACAGGCCTTCCTATCTGAGCTGCTTGCCAGTTTTGTGAACTGTAAAGGTAAGCTGACCTCCTTGCTTAGTGCTTTAATTTGTTGGAAAGGATAAGACATCCTTAGACAAGAGATAAAACACAGTCCAATGCAGGGGAGTGGGAAGGACAGATTTCAAGACAGTTCGAAGTCCGGCAAGTGGAAGAACATGGAAATGGGGGGAAGAAATTATGAACAGAAGGAGTTAGTGAGCAGGCTTTGGCAGAATGATGGGAGAATGATGGGAGAATACTCAGACTGGCAGAATGATGGGAGAATACTCAGCTTTGAGCCTAGGCTAAAACACTGTGTGCATCCAATTTAAAGGGGATAAAAAGTTGCATTAAAGGTTATCTCTTAAACAGGAACGATTGCTGTCACACCTATACATTGCTTGGAGAACAAAAGTTTTCAACAGAGCAGGCACCCTGGGCTGTAGGGAAAATACTACCACCTGGGAGTTTCTTATTTATTTCTCTTTACAAATAGTGTTATTTCTGTAATCCTTGATCCTCCCTCTTGCACTTACCACAGTCTATGAGTGTAAAAGGCAGAAGTCTATATCCTTAATATAAGAGGTTTTACCAAAGTCTAAAAAAAAAAAAACAAACAAAAACCTTAAGGTCCAACCCCTTCCAGTGCATGGGTTTGGACCTTAAGAATACGTGAATGAACTTCTATCAAGAGACTCCGAAGCCTATGTAGGAAACAAGGGGATAAAAAGTCAAGAGTTGCAGCAAGGGTGCTCAGCTCTGCTCCCGGGTCAGAGGAATGATGTGGGAAGAGGCTGGAAGAAGGAGGGGAGGGGCAGGTGGAGAGATGGTGCTGCAGGAACCTGGGCAGAACAGAACCACAACTCATAGCTGCTAGGGGATGAGTACATCCTGATAAGGGAGACAGTACAATTTGTTCCTAGAAGACTCCTCATCAGTGTGATCCAGAGGATGAAGGATGAAACTGGAAGAGCCCATGACATTGTTAAACCAAACCCTATGGGAGGTAGCATGTCTGATACAAAGTATCTTTGGTATCCTATCAAATATGCACCTTACACATATTTTTTTAAAAGATTCTATTTATTTGAGAGAGAGTGAGTGCGTGCTTGAGAGAGAGAGAGAGCATGAGCAGGGGCATAGGGAGAAGCAGACTCCCCGCTGAGCAGTGAGCCTGATGTGGGGCTTGACCCCAGGACCCTGGGATCATGACTTGAGCCGAAGGCAGACACCAAACTGACTGAGCCACCCAGGCGCCCCTACGTTCATTTATTTAACTGAATACTTGTAATAGCTCTATGGACTAAGAAAAACTGAGGTTTAAAAAGCATACCTACTCTGTACAAGTGACTCAGCTAGAAAGCAGTAGAGCTGGGATTTGAACCCACATCTATCTAACTTCAAACACTAATAAGCTTTGGGTAGAAAATGAAAGGTAAAATAAAACAATACAGAAGAAAGTGAGGGGTGCATCAGCCTGGATATTAATTGTCTGTGCCTCCTTTATCCCATCCCAATGAGTCATTTTTCCTTCCTCTGCCCACAGCCCCGGCATTGATGTGGGCATTCACCCCTACCTCACCCTCAGTCCCTGTGGTCTGGTTCTCAGAAGTAAAGCATGTATCCTGGGCTTGTGCCAATCAGCATGTGCATTCCCTGGCCACAGTACATGGTTTAGGGTTTAAATGTGATCTAAGCCTGTCTAATCAGAATGGCTCTGGACAAGACTCTGGCTCTTTCCTTCTGGACTTCCCCCACCCCACCCAGATGACAGGGGTCCAGGGTTACTGCAGCTAACTTGCCACCAGGATCTGCGAGGGACCTCCACATGGAGTGAAGAATGAATCCAAACCAGAGGTGGCCAGAGCCTAGAGCCTGAGACAATGACTTACAATACTGTCTGAGCCTTGAGCCCACCTGTTTCTAAAGCTAGACCTATTCTGAACTTTTTAGTGAAGGCAAACAATGAATTCCTCCCTTTTTAAGATAAATTTGGGGGCACCTGGGTGGATTAGTCAGTTAAGCCATCCGCCTTTGGCTCAGGTCATGATCCTGGAGTCCCGGGATCAAGCCTGGCATCGGGCTTCCTGCTCAGTAAGGAGTCTGCTTCTCCCTCTCCATCTGCTCCTCCCCCTGTTTGTGCTCTCTCACTCGCTAATAAATGAATGAAATCTTTAAAAAAAAAAAAAAAAGATAAATTTGTCTGCATTTTCTGCTACCCATCAGGAGTCCTACTATATATACCACATACATAAAGCATCTGCCCGTATGAATAAGAACAGAAGCATCTGGTGAGACTCGGGTTGGGCAGAGACTGATACATGACCACTGGGGCCCCCCACCTAACACAGATGGAGGTTTTCTAATGCAGATCACCAAACTGGAGGAGAGAGAAGATTTAGTACTGCCTGATGAATAATTCTAACTAACCAAATGTCTGAACATCTTATTCTGGGAAAATAGAACATTTAATAAGTCTGGATTTGCTTAGCTGACTATTTCATCTCTCAGAAAGCTAAAGGAAAATGCTATTCTGCCTTTATTCAGACTCAGAAGGTTAAACAAGTTGGGGTTTTTTGTTGTTGTTGTTGTTTTTTAAGGAAGGAACCTTGGGCAAGCATGATTGTGGGATTTTAATAATTTATTAAGGGCATAATAAGAACAAATTTTAAAAGTTCAGAGAAAATCTAGGGACAATAGCCTGAGACCCTAAAAGGGGAAGGAAGGCAGCCCGACAGATAATGGATGGAGCCTCTCCAAAACAGAATCTGGGGAGAGTTAATTACAAAATCTTCAGGTAGGAAAAAGTTAAAAAAAAAAAAAAGCCAAATCTCAGCTATCAAATTAATCCTGAATGGTTCAAGGCAGGCATCACTTTTCAATCACAATACTTCTTCCTGTTAAGCCTGATTTCATTCTCAGGCTACCTTTGACCCAGTGCCTAATCAGCCATGATGAACTGAGCAGAAATGGGACACAAGAAAGAACCCATTTGCCGTTGCTGGTCTAAAGAAGCCAGTGTTATAACACAGGCAGCCCTCAGAGCTCAAGTTAGAAAAGGACATGCACAAAAATGGAAGGTGAGGCACAAAATCAAGCACAGATGCACAGCGGAATGGGCCTACAGGAATGATGGCAAAAAGGGCAAAGTCTGGAAGGAGCTGAGCTTGGTTTATTTAAAGCAAAGCAAAACAAAAACAAACTTTTTATTTTTCTAAGAATTAAAATGAAGGAGGGGAGAGCTTTAAAAGAATATGAAATACAGGTAACTCTGCTTGGGGAAGATGATGTGCATAAATAAAGCTGAATGCTTTAACTTCTGGATTTAGTTCCATGTCTTCCTCAAGAAGCATGATCTTCTCCATGAAAAGGAAAACAACCTTAGTTATAAGAGACTGTAAGTCCAAGACAGGGAGGAAGATGGGAAAGGCCCCAGGCGTCAGCACCCCAGGGCCCGAAGGGAACTCGGAAACAGGCTCAAGAAACCTCTCAGGTGATCTCTGAGGAATCAAAGAGAATGGGAAAATGGGCAGAATATTAGAGGCTTGCAAACAGCATCCCGATTTTCGAAAGAAGGGAAAATCAGATTCCATTCACCATAAGACTGGACAGCCTACCATCAACCAAGAGGCTAAGCTGCATCCTAAGCTGGGCAGATTTCACAGCACACAGAAAAGAAAGCAATCAAGAAAAGGCATACAACTCAGTAGAAAAATGGGTAGAGGACAGGTACAGGCAGTTCACTGGAGGGGAAATATAAGTAGCCAATAAACAGAAAAGATTTCCACCATCATGCAGATACACACTGAAATAACCAGATACTATTTATCTACACAGCAGCTCAGCAAAAAATTTAAAAGCTTGGTAGTATCAACTACTGGCAAAGATGTGGGGAGATGAGCACTCTCACTAGGGGACTATACAGCTTTCTTTAAAGGGCAATTTGGTATACTGATTAAAATAAAAAATGCATTGTATTTTGACCCAGCAGTTTGAAAGACACACATGCAGAGGCCTGTAGAAGGTTTTTCATTACGGGACTATTTATAATGGTAAAGGTTGAGAAAAAATAAACCAAGGTTTGGAGCGTTATGGTCCTTTAATAAAATGCCATATACAACAATCCAAAATAAAGTTGATCCACATACACTAATAAAGAAGGATTTTGGGGGGGGGAAAGGTTGACAAGCTAAAACACACCATATGAAATCCATTTATAGTCGCTGAAAAATCCTGCCTTTAGGTTGCTGGAGAATAACCTTTTGTTTTGAGGCCTCACTGAAAGACCACAGTCAAAGAGGCCTCTAAACAGAGCGAGATGTCCAGATAGTGAAAAATGGGCCCATGTCAGAGGAGGACTGGCTAAAAGCACACCCTAACTTTTCCAGGGCTCCCTTACCCTCTCTGAGCCCCTGATTCCACTCATCATCCTCCTGCACTTTCTCTCAAGGAATTACCCACAGCCAACAAACTCAAGAATTTCAAGATTCTTGATTGTACCCTTGGTTTGCCCACTTGAGGGAAGGGGTGGCTGGACAATAGCTCCCTAGCTAGCCCCAGCAACATGGTGGGCAGTCTTGAGGTACATTTTCAGTTTGTAAGATCTTTCTCATCTGTCTCTCCCTCTTCCCCAGTCTGTCCCTCCCACCACACATCAGAGAAGGACAAATGAGAAATACACCAGGTTCCAAGGCTCCATATCCCAGGCTATCACTTCACCCTTCCAGGTCTTTGCATTTCTCTGCCCAATGAAGAGGACCAGATAACTTCTGGGGGACCTTACTGTGTATGCATTCTCCTCCCAGAAGAATTCATTGTTAAATAGGACCTCAAAGAAAGCGCAGTGCTTATATACGAGTGAATGAAAGTGGAATTTGGGGCACCCAAGTGTTCTTATCTGGATCCCCATCCTAGTGTGGGAAGTTCTCTGACAGGGACCTTCCATTGGGACTGACCTCTTTAGCGATGATCGAGACAGCACCTGTGCGGCCTGGTTCATGGCCCGGACCCACGCGTTCATGTCCTCCTGGGTGTCGGCACTGAAGTAGTAGGTCCTCATGCCTGACTGCTCGGCCTGAGAGCCCCCCGTGGAGCTGTTATAGATGAGTGCTCGCATCCCTGTGTGCACAGCCTGTAAACGGGAGGCAGAAACCCAGGTCAGAGAGGTCAGCGCACGTTTTACTTCCGGGAGCCAAAACAAGAAGACACTCCAGCCACGTTCTCCCCTCTTCCAGATTAAAAGCCCAGGCACCACCCAGCCTGTTCTGACACCTGGAAAACATCATGGCTGGATTCCCCTTTCCTAGTGCAGTCAGCCCCGGGGACAGCTGTGTCTGGTCCCCCTGGTAAAGCCCTGCAGCTGTACCTGTTCCTATTTCTCTTCCTCTGGCTCAGGGAGGGGTACACAGTCAAGGTGTATGCGAGAGAGAGTTTTTCAAAACCCTCATTCTGTCAAAGCAAACTCTCTGGAATCCCTGTTTGGGTTCTTCTGAAGCACGTGATTACTGGACTTGAACCAACAATCCTCAGTAACAGCAGGTGGCTTAGCTCAGGTATTCACTGGGCCTCCCAGCTTGGCCATGAAATGTGACGTGTGCCCATCGAAGCTGCCGCTCTTCTCTCTCTCCGAAGAGGCACTACAAAGTTTGACATTTGACTGAAAATTCTTGTGCACCTACTATGTGCTAGGAAGCCTCAAGGTGCTTTCACATGTATCCTTGCAAAAAGCCCGTGAAGAGGTACCAGAAACGACCACTGAAAAGCATCCAGGATGGGTGCAAACAAGAGGCAACACCAGTTCCTCCCTCTGTGTTCTGATAGGCAGGGGCCTGTCCTAACTTTGTAATGAAAAACCTCACCAAATCTACATAGGATGATGGTGTAAGGAGGAAGATCAGCAGATCTGATCAGTGCCTACTATGTGTCTCCTGGGTACGGCCATGACTCTAATCTCATTTTAATCCCAATAGCCCTGAGAGGTAGGGACAGAATCTCTATTTTACAAATGTGGCAAATGAAGGTCAGAGATGTTAAGTAACTTTCCCTGATCTGCATGCCCAGAAACGGATTCTTCACAGCATTTAACATTACCTGGCATTATCTATTTTACACACTAGTTTGTTTGTCATCTGTCTCTTCCCTCCAGAATAGAAATTCCAGGAGAGCAAGGACTCTATTTTGTTCACTAAAATATCCCCAGGAATAGTGCCTGGCATATCGTTGGTGCTCAATAAATTTTTGTTGAATAAATGAAGAGTTGGAACCAGGATTTATTCCTAGGTCTATCTGATTCTGAGTCCAAGCTTCTCTATACAATGTTCCCAGGTCCTACCCAGAAATCCAATAATCTGGATCCAGATTGAAAGGCAGACCTCATGCAAGGACCAGTCAGAGAAAACAAAATGAAAGAACCAATTAGGAGCTGGGAAATGACATGCTTCTAGAATCACTAATGGTCATGGATGAAACCTCTCAGATGAACTGTCAACATTGGCTTCTGCAACCCACACTAACATCTAGGTCCAAAATGCATATAAAATATGGGCCTGCTACTGACATTAACATACCTGAATCTATCTAGCTAGTTCTAAGAGAGTACAGGCAAACAGCCTGAAGCTAAGAGTCCCTACCGTGACCAAAGCAAACCTGATATCCTTCCTTGCATGTATAAGAGGTTATTCACTGTCCCAGAAAAGATTCCTCCTGTTTTAGCAAGGTGGAGATATGACAGTGAGAAAAGAATAAAAAGGAACGTGTTGTGTCTTACTAATGAATCAGCAGAAATTCTTGGAAAAGTTCCCCTGGACAATGACCCCATAACATCTCTGATACCTCCTCCCAGACCTTCTGCCCAGTCACAGAGAGTTCTAGGACAGGCACTCGCCCCACCAGACACAAGGCCACCCATAAGCATAAGGCACCCTCAAGGGTATGATAGAGAGAGCAGGTCCCCACTATACTAGTGTTCATGGAGCCAGGCTTGTCCAGGAAATCAACATGGGACACTCTTCAAACATGGAGAGTTGGCATGTCTACAAATGGGCCTTGGGAGTTAGATCCATCATTACAGAGGAGCTACACACGATCACAAACAACTTCTAACCAAATTGCCAATATGTGCTGTCTTCAGCTGCCCTTGGTTCTGAAGAATAGGTTCTTGACTACATTCTGCCTGTGTTTGGTCGTAAAAGATGTATTAACTGTGAAGGTTACAAGTACAGGGAGTTGGCCACGTGAACCAAGTTCAAAGTGCACTGAGTCTGAGGAAGATGCCAGAGCCAAGATGATGAGAAGTCTTCTCATCCCTTCCCTAGTCTCATCTCAAAGATGCTCCCTTCCCATCTGCTCTTCGCTTTCCAATTCACACAGTCCTCCTAGGCAACTTTGTACAACTGAAGAAAAAACTTCAGGCTATACCTAAAGGAAATGAGGACGTAAGCAAGGAACATTCTACCTCAAAAACTTAATGCCCCTAGGATATGACTGCTCTCCTGGCCCTTAGGACTCTGGTCTTGATCCAACAGTAGGGAAGGAAGCTGGAATGCTCACACCTCACGCCCCCAGCATCAACCTTTAGAACACAGAGGCCTAGGGTCAGGGCCTATTAACTGACTGACTCATTCTCTAACTCATTCATTTAACAATAATTTATCATTGACTGTTTATGTGAAAGGCACTATACCAGAAGGGACAGCCTTAATCAAGGCCAAGACAGTTTACAGTCACATAGAAAGACCATGGACAAATAGCTACAATTGTAGTAAGTGTCATCAAGAAGCTCAGGATGCTGTGAGAGAGGACAGCTGGGGAACCTGGCCTGCCCTAGAGAAGGACCTACCTACGGAACTCACATTTAAGCTGCCCTCTACATAGGAAGCAAATATTTTAGTAGGAGTAGCACAGAGGGACGTGTGGGGCCCCAGTGTGGACAAGAGTATGATATGTTCAAGGAAGAAGCCAGCGTGCCTGGTAGGGAGAAAAGGAGAGAGCAGGGTGAGATGAAGTTACTGGAGTTGGCAAGGCCAGGTCACCAGGGTCTTGTGGTCATGTTAGGGTTTTGTCACATTTACAAGAGCAAGGAGAAGCTATTAAAGGGTTTGAGTGGGGGAGTGGGGAGATCAGATTTTTGTCTGGAAAAACCACTCTGGCTACAATATGAAGAGGTTAGAGCCGGGCTGGGGCACATGAGGGGACAGGGGGCAGGAGACCACTACAAGAGTAAGGAGAGAGACGGTGGCAGGGGCTGAGAAGAAGAGGATCGCCCCAAGTCTGGATAAAAGTAGCAGGTAATATCAGCAGGACCTGGGGATGGACTGGCCATGAGAGCTGAGAATGGCAATTGTCAAGGGTAAGACTGCCAGGTTCATGACTTACAAAGACTGTGGTGCCCATTAAGAAGGAACTCCTCATGCCCAACCTTCGGGCTGACTGTGAGCATCACAATGAACTGGGTAGGAACTCAGGCCCCAGAATCAGCCTGACATGCATGGTGAGCATGCTTCTTACCCCAGGGCAGCCCTGGACAAGCTGCTCAACTGCCCCAGGCCTCTATTTCCTCGTTTTTAAAATGGGACTGTGGTTGATGATGATGTTTACATTAAGGCTGTGTGAGCATTAAAAGAGATAATATAACCTATAACGTTTCCTTTGATTAAGAAAACGGGGAAAAACAGGTATCTGTAACATCTGGTCGCTGGTAGAAACCAGAAGGCGCTTCATATCACATTATGACTGGTGTAAATATCTTGAAATAGCATTATGCTCATTGCCACTTTGAAATTACAATAATTATTACGTTATAGGTTAAAAAAGCCTACCATTTATAAGGCTCAAAAGATATGTTAGTTGAGGTTATTATAGGACCAGTCACTTGAGTAATCTAAGCTGACTGACTGAAGGAACTTTCTAGAAATTTTGATTCTTCTCTGCCCTCTCCCCATTGCTAATGTACAGAGAACTAAACATGAATTACAAGGAAGCCTGAACTTGGGAAATGTAAGCAGTTACCTGACCATGACTCCGAATACAAACGACTGCTCTATGTGGTCTCTGTTTACAGAATGGGACTAGCCCCATCTACCCAGGCAGAACTAGCTGATGGGCTAGTCTTCCCGGTGAAAGCTCTAGATAGGTAAGTCAACCACTTGCAGTGAAGTGATAGAAGAGCTGCGGATGTACAGAAGAAGGGCACCTAACCTGTCCAGAGGGCTCAAGGAAGGCTTCCTGAAGGAGGTGACCCCCAAGCAAAGACCTGAAGGACCAGTAAGAGTTGGGGAAAGAACATTCTGGGCTGTGGCTGAAGCTCAGGCAAAGGCCTGTGGGCAAGAAATGCCCTGGGGCCCCAGGCAACTGCACAGGGCTGGAGGGAAAGTTTAAGATGGAGTGGCTAAAAAGGACTGGATAGGTAAGGTGGGGCTGGTAAACCAAGACGGGGCTTTATCCTGCAGTCACTGGGGAACCACTGACAGATTTATGGTGAGAGCACACAGCCTGGACAGATGTGCAATTCAGAAACAGTGTGGAGGATGGACTGGAGGCTGCAGAGTCTGAGGGCTGAAGCAGGGGTAACCAACACCTACAGAGCACTCACCATGTGTCAGGCACAGTTCTGGCAGAAACTTAGTTCCAACAGGAGGGATGACAACAGCCAAGACAGAATAGTGACAGGGCGGTAGAAGAGAGTAGATGGAGGACAAAACTGAAATGGGAGAGGAAAAGGGCAGCTCTTCCCTGTTCTCTTCTCACCCCCTAATAACCTCCATGCTGATGGAGACTCTAGAATATAAGCCCCGTTAAGGCAAGGACCTTATCCTTCTCATTGTTGTATCCCCAGAATCTGCATCCTACCAAGTAGAACAATGGAGCACAATGAAAGTTTGCTGAATATAAATAAGTGGAAAAACCACATGTCTTGGCTGGCCTTCAGCCAGAATCTAAAGCAGGGTCTTAATCTGGGCGGGGGCGGGGCATGAACCCTTTGGATGGTTTCATAAATCCTAAGAACTCTTCTCAATGTTTCTACGGATGCAAATAAAACAAAGGAAATACGTTATACTGAAATGTAGTTATCAAAATTTTCTTAAATGTGGTGTAATGATATGGGTGCTGCTTTAATATTCATTGAATAAGAAATGTAATAATAATTATTGTAATTTCAAAGTGGCAATGAGCATAATGCTATTTCAAGATATTTACACCAGTCATAATGTGATATGAGGCGCTTTCTGGTTTCTACCAGCAACCAAGGCACAGGTGTTACAGATACCTGTTTTTCCCCGTTTTCTTAATCAAAGGCAACGTTATAGGTTAAAAAAGCAAAGATGTGATTTATCCACTGACACTTGGGGATCTGTAGAGCTCAGGTAAGGAACCCTTGGCTTAAGAGAGGAAGAACAGCTCAGAGGAGGCCAATAAAGGCTTTTTCCCCATTGAGGATCCTTGGACCCTTTGCTGCGTGGACATGTTCTTTGCTCCAGATTCTGGATCTGAGGGGCAAGCTTGCTGAGAGGTGACCAGCAGGCCAAGGGTGGCTGTGCATCCAATAGGAGCTCTTTGGGGAGGCACCCAGATGAGTCAGCAGAGCACAAAAGGCCTGCTGGTCAGGGCATTGCGTCTCCTAGACGCCACCAAGAGCCCCACCTGGCTCTCCTACAGAGCTGCCTGCATCTCAGAGTCCGTCTAGCACCAGCTGGTAATGCATAGGAGCTGCCAGGCTGTGGGCACAGTTGAAAAAGACAAGGAAAGGACCATATAACCTCTCAGGCTGTGCCTATCTACCACCACAGATACTCTCAACAATCTCAGGCAAGGTGCCCTAACAACGGTCAGAGAATTTCAGTTCGGAAATAATGAAGAGCTGACATCAGAAGCAGGCGTATGGCCCAGGACACTAAACAACATGCATTCCTCAGTGTGCCCAAGAACATGGATCCTGAACTGCCCAAGGGTCCCACTTCCTGGCCCTTAAAAGAACAACGCTGCAACCCAAGAGAAAGGGAACTCTTTGATACTCAGGAAACCACAGCCCTCTGTGGAGAACCACCTGAACACCACTAGACCTGCCTGCAGCAGCTTTTGTCTGTTCTCAGACCCTGAGGATCCCCCCAAAGGGATCCCCCAAACACACGTACACCTTCTGTCTCTCAGACAAAAATTTAGCGAAGGAACACTCTTGGTGGAGTCCTTCTAAGAAAATAATTTTTTTCAAAAAGAAAAAAATCTACGACACATAAAAGATGTTTTTCTAAATCTGTTTTCACGCCTCCCAGTGAAGTGTTAAGATGAAATATATATAGTTACAATCAGTTACTCTGACCATATTTCAAATGCTGTCCCCAAAAATTACATACAACATTATCCCAACTGTCTGCCCAGTAGCAACACTGAGCCCTAGAAAGGAAGGTTTTCTGAGGAAGACTTTCAGGCTGCAAAAGGCCAGCCTGAAACCCACTGAACACAATGTTTTCAGACCCGTCAATCCGCAGGAGAGACTTCTGAATGATTACATAGAAGAGTATCCCTAAAATGATAACAATGAACATTCATTCAAATCACTTCCCACCTCCTGCAATGTGTGTGCAGGAGGTGACCAAAATAAGATGTGGAAGAAAAGTAGAGAAAGGAACTGTCCTCCCTCCCTGTAATGCAACTGTAAGAGGATTGAGTTCATGTTCAAGTTCTGTCACCATCATCTTCCAGCTTTATGACTTTGAACAAGTTTCTTAAGCACTCTAATCCTCGTGTTCTTAATCTCTAAAATAAAGCTAATAATGCTGACCTTACAACACTGGCTCTCCACGACCTTAAATGAGCTCCCACGGATAGAAGTACTTCTCTGGTCATAAAAGGTTTTACAAATATAAGGGAATACTATGTTATGCAACAAGAAATAGGGAAGGATCCCAGAATCTTCAACCTACAGCAACTCTGCAGTCACTGGGGATAGTGACGGCCAAGGGAAAGAGAGGGACAGCTCAAACCTGGCAATGAACAAAGCTAAAAGCACCAGTCCAGGAAGGAAAGGTAGAAGATGAGACTGACCTTCCAACCACCACCCCCACAATGGACTCCAGATCAAAACGCTGATGCAGATACCATGGATACCACATACCAACACTGTCTTTAACCCTTACAGAGCGCTGGGTGTCTTCTCTTGTGCTTTTCCATGATCCTTTAACTACCTGTGGCTGGCAAACTTGACTTCTGTTCAATCTCTGCTTTAGTACCTAATGTCCAGTATTCATCTTATACCCTCAACATGGGAATAGCTAAGCTACCTGAGTAGTGGGGGCAGGAGCCCCTACCCCACTTGAAATGCACGTCATTGCCTTGTATCCTGAGCAGTGTGAGAGGGTGTTTCCCTGTGGCTACCGGCACCAAAGGCCACTTACTTCAGTGCTGAGACTTCCACTCAGCTGCCAGTAAAGTAGAACTTCAACCCACCCTATCCTTACCATCTCTAGGGGACCCAAGAAACAGCAGCAGTGAAGGAATGTGTGGAGGTCACCAAACGAGATGGCCTCAGGATTCCCCAAGTTTCGGCCTCACCACCACCTTCCTGGAGCCTCCACGCCCAGCTCTGAAGATGCCAGAGGGCGTCAAAGGACTGCCATCAATTATCATGGCCGCACTCACTTAACATGTGACCAAGCAGAAAAGCAGAAAGTAGAAAAGGGGTTTTACTATTGAAGGGATTTCCCTGAGAATCTTTAGTGATCCAGAACACAAATCAAATTTGATACTATTTGCTCTTCAACAAGATAAACAAAGCAGATAAACTTGAAATCTCTTCAACATGAGCTTCTAACCCTCAATGTAAGTTTTCATAATAAAATTGCTATAAATCCATGACGAGCGACCATCACTTGCAGTAAGTGGCTGGACACTAGACTGGCTGATTACAGTGATAAAAAGGCATGAAGGGGACGAGTAATCACAGGATTGGTACCAATAGGAAAGAGGGATCTGAATACTTGAGCAAAGCTGGGGGACTCAGAAGCTCAGAAACAAATGAAAGTACTTTTGATGTGGTATTATTCTTATTTAAAAAATTTACCACATTGTTAACATGCACCTGAAATGCTCTAGCTTCTTAACTTCTCCCCACTCCCCACAAAAAAACAACTGCTTTTATGAAGACATTTTTGGGAACACAAAGTTTCTTAGGGTAGAAATGCTGCCCTGGAGGGGAGGGGGCAGTACCTTAAAGGAATACTTGCGACTTATGCGGTCCTCAGGGGCCACAGGTGAGATCACATAGCTGGGCAGAGGGATGCTCCCAAGGACCACTTCTTCTCGGCTGTCTTTGAATGGAAAAAACACATCAGAATAACCTTCTCTGGCACCTCCCCTGGGTTGGTCCATCCCATTGCCCCTGTTCAGGGCTCCTTATAGCTCCCTAGGACTGCTGTAATCCCTGATCGTCCATTCAGGTGCTCCCTGGGGACCTTTGCGCTAAAGCAGGAATGACACAGATGAGTCAGGGACAGAGACAGGCATGGAAACATGCTCAGCGCAACCTGTGAACTCCTGAAACAGGGCAGTAAGCCGAGTTCTGCGGGAACACAGAGGCAGGAGTGGCACAAATTCGGGGAAAGCGGAGAAGGCTTCAGAAGGTGATACCTAAAGTGTTTTAAAGGAGGGGGAAGGGCATTCCGGGAAGAGCAAACCTCATAGGCAAAGTTAGAGCGTGTGCGAAATATCCTACCTTCTACATCTATTCTCTTCCTCCTCCAAACCATCTTCATGACAGAGGTAACTTCCTAACGACAGCACTGGTCCTGTCGCTCTCCTACTCAAAGGCACTTGCTGACTGCCCACTGGATGCAAAATGCAGTTCAACTTACTCTGCCTGGTGTCACAGTCCTCTTGCATTTTGGCCCTTACCCACCTCCTGAGCCTTCTTTCCTACTATGTCCTGCAAGCAAGACTCACTCTGGCCTCACAGGTCTGTCATTCCATTTTCTTCTGCTTCTAGAACTTTATTCAAGTTGTTTCCTCTGCTTGAAATGCCCATTTGCCCCCATACACAGGCAAAGCTCTACCTATCTTTACAAGCCCAACTCAAATCCCATTTATTCTGAAAAGCCTCCCCCAATTCTCCAATATGGAATTAATTTCTTGCTCCCCCTGAATTGCTTAAGCACGTTGAACGCCTTCTAAAGCACCTAACGCTGCCTAGTCTTGTCTTACGAATCAACTCTCTCTTCCTCCATATTTTGAGTCTTACTTCTTTCTCACTATTGCACAGCCCCTAACTTTATGTACTGGGGCTCCATAAATGTACATGTGCCCAACTCAATTCACCAACTGTCCATCCAATATTAAAGGGGATAGATCCAGACAACAAGTTACAAAAAAAAATGATTTACCTATCCTTCCTACCTCTCCAGATAGTGTCAAAGGTATGCCTTTGTTCCAAACGGGGTAGAAGCTGAGACAACTCCAGACTTGGAGAGCCTAAGTAGCAGATAAACTGGATTCTATTTATTTTAACTCAACAAATGGCACTTCGAGTGCAAGGATTGGTAAAGTAAGTCACCGGCCATTCACATATGGAAAAGTGAACACTTTGGCACGTAAATAGGTTATAAATTAGCTCAGGCCACTGGTCCAATCACTGGATTTGAGAATATAACCACCTGTATCACCTCACCACCCCCCTCCAGCACAAAGAGCCCTTGGTGGCCTGAGCCTTAGCTCACCTTTATAGTAAAACAAGCAATAATCAGCAAGCACAAACCACCTCCTTTTCCACAGTCTCATCCCAGAACTGTCCTGCAAAGCAAAGAAAACTAATCAGAAAATATCTGAGCATACTCTTACCCCTTTCCAATCATGCATGGCATGATGCTAGAACCAAGACTTACCTATATCCATTCGTTCTTTCAATAAATTAATGAATTAATAAATTTTTATTGCAAGGTCATTTTTTAACAGGACATTAAAATTTAGATTCAATGATGGTTTGTCCCCAGGAAGTTTTATGTGTGTGCTGGAAACAGACTAATGTAAGTATCCTTTTAGAAAGGCAGATGTGAGGGGCGCCAGGGTGGCTCAGTCGTTAAACGTCTGCCTTTGGCTCAGGTCATGATCCCAGGGTCCTGGGATCGAACCCCACATCGGGCTTCCTGCTCAGCGGGAAGCCTGCTTCTCCCTCTCCCACTCCCCCTGCTTGTGTTCCCTCTCTCCCTGTCTCTCTCTCTGTCAAATAAATAAAATCTTTAAAAAAAAAAAAAAGGAAGATGTGAATTCAAAAAATACAGTTCTTCCATTAAGAAAGAAATCAGTTTTTAACAAAAAGGAAGCTATTTATTTATTTAGGTACTATTCTATAAAATATCTTCACTTACACTGATGAGAAAATTTATTTACACAGTATAGAACAAGGAATTTAAGTTAGCTAATTGATGAGGCAAAGTTCTCATTTGACTAAGTTCAGTTCTCTATCATAAGGGGCTAATTTTGCCATGGATTTTCCTTCCATTCAATGTAAAGAGACTTGGACTGTCTTGCTGTCAAATTGCCTCATAAAATGAATTTGTCTTTACGCATCTAAAATGTAAATCAATACATTTATTAAAAACATTTTAGGTGATTGTGAAAATTCTAAAAGAACAAGGCCAGGGTAGGAAAACAGAAGTACTATAGGGTCATTTTTCTCCCAAACCTAGGAAAACGCCAGAGCTGCTCTTAGCTGTTAAAACTGTTTTCCTTCTGCAAAAGTTTTCAACAAGTTTAAATTTAAAAAATAACAGTTATGTCAGTCACTAAACCTAAGCACAACATGAAGTTTGTTCATTTTCCACTTACTAAAGTGCTAAAAACAAATTTAACTTGCTGAGTTCACGCGTTTCTTGGTTTTATCTTCTGCTCTGACCAGATGATCTCTAAGATCTTGGCATATTGCTTTGTTTGGAAAACTCCTTTCCATCCTCCACACCTAGTGCAAATGTCACTTCCTCTGGGAAGCCTTTCAGGACTCCCCCAAGCACAGCTACATTCTCTGTGCTGTGTACACAGCACTCCACACAGGTCTCTTACAGTTACCAGGCTGGGCAGTGGGGGCTGGGGAGAAGAATTACTTATAGCCCCTTCCCTCTCCCTCCAGATATCAAAGGAGCATACTTTGTTTAATGGAGATGGGGATGCAAATGGAAAAGTCAGAAGGTTACTCAGGTAAAAGAGATGGGCAGAGAGGCAAGTAAAGAGGCTGTGAGGGAAGAGGGTATCACTGAGAGAGGTGCCAACACAGTGTCTGACAGAGAAGGCTAGAGAGCTACGGAAGCTGCCATGGGGAGTCTGAGGGGAGACAGATTTCAAGGGGACTTCTAGGGACTACTTCTGTGTGGTGTGCAATGTAATGCCCTCCTCTGTCTTCCCACAAAGCGTTTGGTAAAAATTAACATCACAGCTCTTGGAGTTTGTGGTTTTTTTGGATGGTATGATATGTGAGAGACTGTGAGGGCGATGATAGGACATGTGAGAGATGTGCCAATTTCCCCAGTAGACTGAGTTCCTCAACTGTGGGAACCACATGTTCTTCACCTCTTTATCTGTGCTGTGAAAGCACTTAGAACATGGCAGGCAGGGACGCCTGGGTGGCTCAGTCAGTTAAGTGTCCGACTCTTGGTTTCAGCTCAGGTCGTGATCTCAGGGTTGTGGGATCGAGCCCCATGTTGGGTTCTGCGTTCAGTGCAGAGTCTGCCAAGATTTTCTCTCTCTCTCCCCCTGCCTCTCCCCCCTGCATGGGCATGCACCCTCTTTCCCTCTCTCTTCTCTCTCTAAAATAAATAAATTTTTTTTAAAGATTTTATTTATTTGACAGAGACACAGCGAGAGAGGGAACACAAGCGGGGGAGTGGGAGAGGGAGAAGGAGGCTTCCCGCGGAGCAGGGAGCCCGATGCAGGACTCCATCCCAGGACCCTGGGATCATGACCTGAGCCGAAGGCAGACGCTTAATGACTGAGCCACCCAGGCGCCCCTAAAATAAATAAATTTTTGAGAAAAAAAAAAAAAAAAGAACCTGAGAGGCACTTGGTAAACAAATGGGCAGACAGAAGAACAAGATGGGTGGATGGCAAGGAGAGAAGGAAGGAGACAAAAGGGACATGTTCTCTGGCCCTGGGAGCTCACAGCCTATTTGTGGCCAGAGGACAAGAGACAGAACAATTGGTGGTCAGTTTAGAGATGCAGGATAGCCTCAGGGGAGCTGACAGGGCTTCCTGAGTGAAGGGATGTGGGAGAAGAAAGAGCTGTTTCTAACCAGGGTGCCTAGGAGAATGGGGGTATCATCACCAAGGTCCAGAAAAAAATAAGTTGGGGAGAAAAGAGAGGTAAGGGGTGAGGAGGCAATGAGCTGAGTTTGGCTGATTCGGAATCTGAGGTGCGAGGGGAGCTAGATAAGTGTGCTAGACCAGGCTGGGCAGAGGACAGGAAAAGATGGGATTTTTCAGCCAAATGATAGCAAAGGCTCTTTAACATCAAGAGGGCAAGTGCTGGCCAGGGCTTGGTGGTAAGGCTGGATTCATGCTGACCCACCCACATGAGTGCCTGGGTCCCAGGGCAGCCAATAGCAATGGGGGCCCCAAGGGGTCAAGTGGGTTTGGGGAGGGAAGCTGCAGCCATTGAGCAGATGGTCCACTCACAAAAATGGACAGCACACCTGCCTCAGACAAACTCAGGAACAGAGAGCTTATTATGAGTCTGTTCTCAGCTCCCAGGGGCCAGGGTAAGGAAGGAGATCAGCAAGAGCCATCCCCCTCCCCGACCTGACCCTCCCAGTCTCCTCACCTGCTTGTGCAGCCACCCCCTCAGCACCACTGGAACATTGGGGTTCCTCCGAATGGCCTGGTCCCTCTTCCCAAAGCTGTGGACTTTATTGCTGGATTTCATGATCTAGGAAAAAGCAGACTCAAATTCTAGCAGCTTTTAGGGGACTTAGGGAGTCACACAAAGCACCTGCGTGATAGGAAAGCTGTAGGCCCCCCACCTTACTCTAAGTGGCAGTGCCCTTTGATAAAAAGAATAGCAAGGAGACCAAAACAGGCGGGCACATGGCCATAGTATTTTAATTAAAAAGCAAATGCAAGGCCTAGCAAGCTTCCCGTCTGAGTCACGGAGGAAAGAAAAACTTAAAGGGATTTTTCAATTAACTTTCACCAGCAGCTGTTGGCCCTCATATGTCCTACTCTTTCTGGAGCAAAGCTACTTTTCGGTCACAGATTTTGCCAATTTCCAGATATTTACCGTCCTATCTGGGTTCATTCCTCAGCACTCACCCCTTCTCTGCAATGCTGGTTCTTTTCCCTGCTCCTCAGTCAATGGTCCCATCTCTCACCTTTCCTCAGGCCCATCGGTCACAAATCTCACCAGGCAGTCTCATAACACACCTGTGAACAGAGGTGTGACCCTCCCAAGACAAGCCAGGAAAATGATGAAGGCATCTAAGGACTTGGATGTCAGTCCCAGTTCTGCCAGCAATCACCTGTTTTCCTGGACAAGTGACATAACCCCAACTGGTCTCAGGAGAAGCCTCCCTCACAAAACAATGGTGGGGGTCGTTGGGCATCTGCAAAATATTAAAGGGTGGAAGGAAGGAGTGAGTGGCCAGGAGCTCACCTTGGGGCCAGGCTTGGCCTCCACAGTGGACGTGGTTCCAGCTGTGGACGTCTCACTGACCATGCTGGACGGTCTTTGGTTTCTCTCTTGCTTCGACATATGTGGATGTGGCCTGTGGGAAAACATAGGAGAGTCCAGTAAGTAAGCCTGGGCTGCAGTGGAAGTGGAATCTGAGATTTGTTCCAGACTAGAGCTGGTTGATGTGCCATGACTGATGTTCCGGAGACCACCTGACTCCAGGCTGTAGCTAGAAGATCTTAATGTCCATGTGCTTCAGGGAATCAACGATCATAGATGCACACACCTTTGCCGCTGACACCCCACAAAGGGGCCAAGGCTGGCATTCCTGCCTGCTGTCCTAAGGTTCCCACATATACTCTCTTACTCGGGTGTCTGTGGCAACTGCCCCATCAGATGGGCACACACAGTTGTGCCACTCTTCACAGGAGAGCAAACCGTACTCCTTACACACACACACACACACACCCCTCCATTTCTCTGGCTCCCAAAAGAAGCTGCTTATAATTAGTAATAAGAAATCACTTGTGCACACATCCACACCCCCAGATACACACAGAGAATCGCTTATATAAACGCCAGTGGGGCTTGCCTCCCAAAATAGATGACTCAACAAAGACTCCTATTCTAGGAACACTCTTTTGCCCCAAAATAGAACCATCAGAGTTATTAACCCCTTGTGCCATGCCTGGGAGCAGGAAGCAATGAAACATGCCTGGGCCCCCAGTGGAGATCCCCTCTGTATGTCCCCAACAGCACCCAGAGACACCATGCTTCCCATCAAGAAAGTCCGCCTGCCCTGAGAGAGCCAGAACTCTAGGAACATCTCAGTATGACACTCAAGAGACACTACAGAGAACCCTTCTCACCTGCCTCCACACAGCCCCAGCATTCGCCAGTCTTTCCAAGCCTGGGTGGCAGCAAGTGCCTCCAACAAATTCAGTGCCTATCCTCAACAGCTTGATGCCTGATTCCCAGACTCTACTAACTCCAGGATCAGTAAGCCTTCCTCAGTGAGTGAGTCTGCTTGTTCTGTGGCTGGGTTCTCTGACAGGCAACACAATCCAGGCAGCTGCAGTACACTGAGGCGCTCTGCCTGAGTGGAGAAAATCAGATTTGGAGGCCTGGGCCAGGCGCCTGAAGAGATGGAGGATGCAGACAAGACACAGCAAGGAAGCAGCACTCTGGGTGTCCGTTCGCCAGGCTCACTTTTACAGAGGTGCCACGAGGGAAAATCCTAGTTTCCACCTTGGAGATAGGCCGCTTCCTTCAAAACCACTACCACTCAAAGGATAAGGGATCCTTCCTGTGCCCCAAGACAGAGCCCTGACACCCTGCACCATTACTTCTTCGCAGAAGGAGCCGTGACCACCGTGCTCTCTGAGCTGTGCCAACAGAGGGACCGCTGCAGTGGGACCAGCTTTCCAGGGGGCTGAGCTCTACCGGATGCCTGGCAGCTGGAGATGCAAGTCCCACCAGGCAGAACGATCACTGGCTCCTTATCAGCTCAGGCACTCACTCCAGATTCCCCGCCCCCCGCCTCCATCCCAGCCAGACTTCTGTTACTGCTCCCCACTCAGAGAATGTCACCATGCTCAGCCCGCTCACTGCTGGCAGAGGCTTCATGCAGCAGAGAGAGAATCGCCAGCCGGGGGTGAGAGGGGCCCTGAGAGGCTGCCTTGTCCAGCCGCTGCCTCCAGGCAGAACTATGCCCAAAACGTCTGTCTGGAACCTAGGCTTGCCTGACGTTCGGATTTCCAGAGGTTGAGACAAAGATGAGTTCTCAGTTATGGCGGCTATAGACCTACGCCAACATTCAGGACACAAAGTCTGACAATAAAATAGGTTTGTTTGGGATTTATCAAGTCTACTTTGCTCCCCTTTAAGACATGGACAGAGAATTATTATAGAATATTTGGGAAATATTTTTTAAAAAGCTAAAAGGAAAAGAAAAAAATTATCACAGTCTTGCTACCCAAAGGAAAACCATTTTTAACACTTGGTATATATACTTCCATTCTTTTTTGTATGTCTGGCTTTGGGGGTGGTGGGGGGAAAAGAGTGCTTTTTTTTGTTTTTTTTTTTTAAAGATTTTATTTATTTATTTTGACAGAGAGAGACACAGCGAGAGAGGGAACACAAGCAGGGGGAGTGGGAGAGGGAGAAGCAGGCTTCCCACTGAGCAGGGAGCCCGATGCGGGGCTCGATCCCAGCACCCCGGGATCATGACCTGAGCCGAAGGCAGACGCTTAACGACTGAGCCACCCAGGCGCCCCTGCTTTTTTTTGTTTTTATGTAACTGTCATCATACTGTGTTTATGATTCCGCATTTTGATTTTTTAAAGCTTATTGTAAGTTAAACATTTTCTCCATTATTTTAAACACAGTCACATCATTTTATTTCTTTATTTTTTTCTTTTTAAGTAAGCTCTATGCCCAGCATGAGGCTTGAACTCACAACCCTGTGATCAAAAGTCACACGCTCCACCAACTGAGTCAGCCAGACACCCCACATCCACATCACTTTAAATGACCACATCACATTCCATCAACTTGATATGCTGTTTCTCTTCTGTGGGACAAAGAAAAGGCTATTTGGATGTGTGACTGGCCCAGAAGATCCAGTATAGATGGCCACTTGCACCCTTTCTGTACCTTACAAACTCGAGCTCTGACTTTAATCACCTCCTGCATTCTAGCCCCATGTCCCCACCCCATTTGGGGATGCTGTCCGGCCAGGGAGCTCCTCCAGACAACAGTACTGTCCTACAGCCTCGGATGGGTGAAGAAAGACGGTATAGATACCACCTAGGGAGCCAATTATGAAAAAATTTCATCTGGAGAAGAACTGGTTGTGGTCCCAACACTGAACATCAGTGAGGGACAGTGGAACACAGCGGTGGCAGAGTACAAGAGGAGGAGAAAGAAAAACATGAAGACAATTCCATTCTTCAGAGACCTCTGCTCAGCCACACCCAGAGACAGCTGGCTTATCAGGTGATATGACTAAAGCCCAAACTATATCTGCCCCAGAGAAGAGACCGTGTTGTCTCTATAAACAGTGAATGTCTTCATCAGGCTCTCCAGGGGCAGGGACAGCTCCCAACTGAAACAACAGTTTCAACCTCTACCTGGCAGTCCCTGACCTGGCTCTTTGAAAGAACAAAGTGCACACGGCTACCCACTCAGCCGAGTGACAAGATCTGCCTTCAGAGGATGTTCCTCTGAATCTCCTCAATAAGGGTAATGATCTCCTAGGTCTCCCAAGGGTAAATACAACTTTGGGAAATAATTAGTCATCTGTAATTACAACTAGTTTAAACAACAACAACAACAACAGGTGGTGGTCATGCTTGGGACACCATTTGGTACCCCAAAACTAAGGATATAAAAAAGTTTCAGGGTGTCTGGGTAGCTCAGTCAGTTAAGTGTCCTACTCTTGATTTCAGTCAGGTCATGACCTCGGGGTCCTGAGATAGAGCCCCATGTCAGGCTCTGCACTGGGCATGGAGCCTGCTTAAAAATCTCTCTCTCTCT